TCTCTCTCTCTCTCTCTACTCTCTCTCTCTCTCTCTCTCTCTCTCTCTCTCTCTCTCTCTCTCTCTCTCTCTCTCTCTCTCTCCCTCCCTCTAAACTTTGAGATAGATTTAATTAATGTAAACTTATTTTGTCATAAAATTCAAACAAAATATTTGTTTATATTTTACAGAATAGATCTTTATAAGATCGAAGATTAAAAAAAAAATCATATTATATTATATTAGAATAAAGAAATTGAAGAAAAATATTATCGTTTTAAAAAAGAACATGAAAAAAGAAGCAAACAGAAAAGCAAATTGTTTTAATATTACCATTACAAAAAACATTATAATGTAAATAATATAAAGCTGTAATAAATTTGAAGGGACATAAATATAATTCATTTAAGTTTAGATATTTAAAAACTGCTTTTTAAAAATCGTGTATACAATTTATTGAATTATCTTGACCTAGCTAGATCGCCAGTACGCAGCCTTGAAAAATGTTTATGCGTCGCGAATAGCGCGTTCCATTGTGTACGACGCTGATAGCGCGTGCGTGTTTACGGGCGCTCTCCGCGTTATCATTCACACAATGGCTTTCGTACGGGCAGGTAGCGGTGCGCGTCGCTCCGTATTTCCTTGTATTTCGTTAACGCTAAACGATACTAAATTATTAAGAATTTTGAAAATAGAAAAAAAGGATATGTAAAATGCAATTGTTACAACATATACAGTGAATATTAAAGCTTAATGTTTGTTGTAACAGGTCATTACTTTTTTCCAATATCAATTTGCAACATAAATAATCTTATCCATTGTCGTATATTTTATTTTACACTTACATCATGGTTTCTATCACGCAATATGGCACGATGTTAGCCTTTACTGTAACCGAGACGCGGAATCGCAAAAAGTTCTGAGCATCCCGTGAGATTATACTCGCAGTTAGAACCTTCGGCTCTTCGTCTGTATTGCGGTCGTTTCCGGTAATATTACGGGCCATGAAGTGCGCACAGTTATTCGAGCTTTTTTTTTTTAAGGAAGCTTTAGCAGACATGGCACTTGAAGTTACGCATCGGTGAACACTTTCGTTTCTTCGTCGAAGAAGCTTATGTGGGCTTAAGCTTTTATCACGGATCATCGAGCACGGAAGAAAGTAATTACTTCTTCGAATATAATTAGCGATGAGACGACGGTGGAGCGTTCTCGTCGTATTCGCGTCGCTCTGCCATCTCATTTCTTATCGTTGTGGAAAATGCTCGGTGCATTTACATACATACATTACGACTCACGTGTGTACGAGATACTCGGAAAGATCGTGAGAGTAACGCGTATAGTAAAAGTGTTTTAGTAAAAGTGCCAGCAGTAACACGTGGTCAACTGTAAAAGGTAATACCGTTGCTTATAAATTTTTTTTATTGCTTATTGTTAGTACAATTATTCATTGAAGAATTTGAATAATGAAAATTATATTACGTGTAAGTAGAAATGCTTAAAATTAAAATTCTGTTAATTAAAATAAAATTAGCCATGGTATTCATAACGAAATTAGAAAGAGTTTATTAAAGCGTTTAATATTATACGCATTATTTATTTTTAATTTTAATAAAAATAGATATACATATTGTATATTACGGTGTAACTTTTTTAAAGCACGCTTGTTACCTCGTTTAATTTACTTTTTCCTTGCAAAACGAATACAGTCTACAAACCGCTTTTTATATTGTTATCGACGCCCGTTATGATATATATTAAATGTATACAAATTCGTATTAATTTTATAATTAATATTATACGTGTAATATCATACGTCATTTGTTGTTTCAATAAATTTAATCTTAAAGAAGAATTATAAAAAATTATACAAGTTGCTTTGTGTTAGCATGGCACAAACGCGTGAATAAATTAAAGATTTACTTGGATTATTTAATATTATGCTTAAATTTAACATATTTTAATAACATTTTTATTTTTTCTAGCTTGTGCAATCCGTATTTAAGTATTCAAGATAATCTTCAGTATTTTTCGAGAAAATCTAAATATAGGGTAATGTCGTAATCGTAAAAGGTAATATCTATGCCAACAAACGCACGTTAAACTGTTTTTCCCGCAACAAATTGCGCAGATTACCAATCGAGAGCGTAAGCACGGCGCAAACCCACGCGAGTCATTCTCCAGATTATTTTCCTTACTTTCACAATCGGGCGCAATCGCGAAGATGGTATCCGGCAACGCTTGCGGAAACTGATGCAAAGATTTTCAAGAATCTTCTTGAGAACACTTGAGAGAAACAAGTACAGATTCGTGGTGACATATTTATGGAACATTTGCAGATATATCAGTACAAAATCAAATTTATTTTCAAAATGATATTAATAAGCAAGAAGCAATAAATAATAATTTCTCTTGCAAAAATAATGTGTTTTTCGATCTCGATAATGATACTTTATTACGATACTTTGTCCTTAATTTTATTATCCCTTCATCTCAATGTTCAAGTCTAAAACGGAATTCTAGTCGATTATCTGGCGCCGCCGATAATTTCTTCGCCTTGGCTGTTAGTCTTTAGATAAAACGCGACAAAACTCAAGCCGGTTCTTGATGATGATTGAGAAAGAATATTTTCAGCAAATGGAGGCGAGATAATCGGCACTCGCGCTCGCGTATTCCGGTAAGAAAAAAACTGCGAAATGCTATACGATAATCCACGTTTTATATAGGATTTAATGTTAAGTTACAACTCAGGAAACTGGCAGATTTACTCGTCAATTGAAAATTTTCAAGGGGACTTTATTTCAAACGAATTCTTAATTAATACTTAAATATATGTATTACTCAGATAATTGCATAACGGTAATAATATACAAAGAATTGTGAGGTAGGATCGAACATTTAAGGAGAGGCCATTAAGATTTTTCAGAAAAAGTTTCTACGTATAATAAAATGATCGATTTATTTTTATACGTCCTGTATAACTTTTTGCGAGATGAAATAATCTGTAACTGTCCCCGCGAAGTGCTCTCGAAGGAGAGCCGTAACTCGCTTGACTGCGCTCGTACTGCAACTGGTTTACGAGCAAAAGCGCGCGTATCGTTGTTAATTCAGTCGCGCGATGACAAATAACATCGTCGAGACAAGACGCATCCATCAGTGCAGTTATGTTCCTATTGTGCGTCGTTGCATCGGTATATCAATGCGATGGGATTTTACAGTGCCCGGTGGCAGGGTGACCGGTCAGCTATTTTGCCGATTATTTCGCCGGTTATTTTCGCCGGTTTATTCGCACGGCATTGCCGTGCATACAGATCGCATCACGATACCGGTACACCCGCATGTTCCTCGTCTGCCGATGCTCCATTGTGCAACCGTATCCCCTTTTCAGCGTTCCAGTGCGTGCATGCGTTATATTGTACGCGTCACTGCGACGCGTATCAGTGCGTATGCCACACATCCTCCGCACCATCACCTCCCTCCTCCCCCCCCCCCGTCCCCATTTCAGTGTGCATTGTCGATGCTGACAAGACATAATGCCGAGATTTGTCTGCGCGCATTCGCCATAGTGCACTAATAATTCTCTACGCCTACAAACCGGACTCCCTCGTCATTTAGCGTAACTAGATTTTTTTTTAAGCGATTACACAAGGATTAAAGAAAAATGTGATAGCTTTCAAAGCGTCTGAGTAAATCAGAGTATATTAATATTTTTAATTATATTAATGCGTGTATATTATTATTTTTAATTATTATAAATCGCGTTTTTATATCAGATGTTGTTTACGCACTACTTTTTAATGGGCTCTAGGAAAGCTAAAATAATGCATAGTCTAACGCAATGTTCAGCGTAACTTTTCATGTCCTAATAATCTGATAATAATATAATTACGTATGTATAGTGTTTTTCTCAGAACTTTGATATCTTTTCTAATTACTTCATGTATATTTCGTAATATTGCTCGTGTTGCGCAAGGTTGTTAAATTGGCTTTTATACGAGGCTGTATACGGTTTTACATAACGAACGGAGAACTCAAAAACCATTTGCAACGGCAATTTCTGCTTGCGTACTTATTTCGTTTTTGATTACAGCGACCTGCTGAAGAAGTTATTCTCAGGCATGCATGTCTTCAGAACACATTAAATCACTGCATGTCACTCCGCGCGCGTGTGTTGAGTTGAACTTTTTGAGATCGTGCTTTTAGAGATTTCTCAACTCAAACGAATATTTCCGTGTAATCCTAATGAATCCTAGTAAATATTGTCGAGTTCTTAAAGGAATCTCTGGGTTGCAATTTACATACGACGTACATTTATCATAGTAAATGAAATTTTCCAGCGCAAGCCCAGAATTAATCTTAGTTATACTGAGGAGTAGCAAAATTTGCTAACTGTTATTGCATCTAATCTTTTAGCATGCATATAATATTTACATTTATAATATATTATACGAATTTTAAATTAAAAAAAATCATACAGATGTAAAAAGTTATCTTGTTTACTTATGCATTTTTTTAATTCTTATAATTTGTCTAAAATATATTTAAAAAATGATACTAAATTTTGAGATATCTTAAAAATTTCATGCTATTTTGTAAACGGCTTTAAATATTTAATATTCAACGATTTCCTTTTATTCGAATAAGAAAGATTTAATTTAATCGGAATTTTTCTCTAAATATACATCCATCTAAATGTCGAAAATACAAAAATTTTTTTACAAAATCTTTAGCAAATGATAATGATAATTTAAGAAATAGTTAAATCTTTTTTGAATTTCGCGAGAAATTATGCTTTTCATTATGCTTTTCATGCAATTCGGATTCTGTGAACATTTGTTATCATATGTTTATAAATTTATTGCTGTTTAAAGTTAAATTCTTTTATTATTTTATATACATAGAATTAGATTTTTTTCACTTAGAAAAATAACTTTGATGATAAATAAAGATTAAGCTGATTTTCTTTCCTGTAATTTTCAAAGGATAAGCATCGAACTAGAAATCCGTAACATTCAAAATATTAAGAACTATACATCGTGCGAGAAAATTTCAACTTGATAGGCTTACTGCACACCTGACGAACAGCTGTGTAGTCATCATAACTCCGTCACGGGTCTTGATCACGTATAATTCACCCTTCTTGAACATCCTTTATAACGTATTATCTTTGCCTTGTGTCTATGAGAGAGAAAGAGAGAGAGAGAGAGAGAGAGAGAGAGAGAGAGAGAGAGAGAGAGAGGTGTGTGTGTGTGTGTGTGTGTGTGTGTGTGTGTGTA